CAATGGCCGAATTGCTGAATCTTCTGAAGCCGATTCAGTCAAATTGATTTGGGACAGTGATCTAAATCTCCGAATTGAATCACTGTCCTCTGAATCATCCGAATCAAATACTTCCCTATTCGCCCAGGCCTAGTAGATGGTAATTAAGCCCAAGCAAGGCTCTTGAGCTGGGGGAAGGAGCAGTTTATAGTCAGGAAACAGACTGAATCCAGAAGAGCTCGCCTCTAGGAAGGGCCAGAACAAATGTGGCCCTCTCCTGCTGCCTGGAGAAAGGGTAAAGGCTTGCTGTACTTGTTTCTACCAAGGATTATTGTTTTGTGATATGAGAACTGTGAGAGAGACTCCCAATGGAGCAAACCAGACAGTGGCTGCAGGTACTCAGGCTCCTTACAGACTATTGTTTGGGTTATCTGAAGGACTTTTTAAGGGGGCAAAGCCTACCTGCATGGCAGCAGGCACCCTAAACCTATAATGCAAAAGCAAGCTGTTTAAAAAAAAAAAAAATCAAATGCACTATTCATCAAAACCAGAAAGGAAATGTACCTTCTCTGCTTTTTATCTCCAGAAGAAATAGTGTTAAGCCCCAGTTTAGCAGGGACTCTCCACACAGGTTGCTGCTGCTCCCACTGAGCCCTCTATCAGAAATCAGTTATAAGTTAGTGCTGTAAGTGGGAGCTTGGTACGGGTGTAAGAATGGAGGATTATAGATACAATTGTAAGATTAGCATCTTTACATAATGTTCGTGCAATAAATATTCATGTGCCTGTGTTAGGAAAAAATGGTGTTGTTCTAATACTTTTGAGAGTAATTGGAAAATTAAAATTGGAATTTTCATTTAATGGAAAATGTTGTAAAATTTTGAAATTTGGTTTCCTTCTGAACCAGAACAAAAATGAATCCAAAAATTTCTTGGTGAAATGACTTTTTCCCCCTTACTTTATAATATAGTATCATTTTTCTTTTAAATTTCTAAACGAAGACTAATCTTATTGATAAAGTGAAAAGGCCTTTTGAATCTTTTCTAGTATAACATTCCATTGAAATGCATCACTTTTTCCTCTACTTTGAAAAATTGGCAGTTTCTAATTAGAAAAAAATGCTGGGAGAAAAGGGAATGTTAGAATGAAAATGTGATGCTTTGTGTCCAACTGTGTAACTCTTTATATTTAGTAATACCTCATTACACACAAGCACAGTCTTCCAGATCTCTTAATTTAGATTGCATTAAAATGTTCCTGGTCTTGGAGTTCTTAATTTGGCTCTACAAATTCAGAAAAGGCTACAGTTGAAATTCTAATCTAGAAGTAAATCTTGCTTGCCAATTTTTGGTTCTGATTGCTTGTTTTTTGGTCATGCAAAATTCCTGTTGAACTTCCCATAGTTTCAAAGAGACAAGTTAACTTATATATTGCAGTCTAGCTTGTGTGTGTTGTGTTAGCTTTTATGTAAGACTTTTAAATTGGTAGGACAAACCAGAATTAGTGTGGCACTTGACAAATATATTAGACTGATGTGTTCATGATTACTGTCATTTAATGGCACAGAAAGGGATGAGATGGATTCCTTAATTATTTAGGTTCATGTCAAAAGCTTAATGTAGCCATTTTATCTTCTGAGTTAAATTGTTGCTTCTGAAAACATTGGCTTGTAACAGGTATTTTGCAGGCTTCCTCAAAGCTTTGCCAGGGTACTTAAACAGTCGTGTCCCCCTTTTAACATAGGGTTGAGTTTATATATTGATCAAAATCTGTTAGTTCTGCTGAATTGGATTATATTATTATCAGTGGTCTCTTTGTCCTTAACTGCACAGGAAATTAGAAAGTTTGACCACCACTTGATAACCAACCTGCTTTTTTCTGTCAAAGGTCTGATTTTACAGAAACAATACTTCTGTACATAGCTGTTGGTTAAAAGCTTAATTATTGTATTTAAAAATGTGTTGGTGCATCTGGGAAAAACATAGAAAATTATTCTGAGTTTTGGAGCCTCCTACTTTTCTTTATGACCTGTAATGTTGATGGCATTACTTAGAAACACAAGTTATAAGCAACACAGGAGAGAATCAGGATAGCAACACCTAGACCACTGACATCATTAACTTATCACAGCACTCTCCTACTCTGAAATGCGTATACTTTCCAAAGGCCCAAATTTCTATCCAGAAAAACAGCTTGATAATAGCGTGCAGACAACTAGAAGAATTCTTTGGGAGACTTGGTCCGAAAGAATACTTCCACAGCCAGTATAGAAGCACCTCTGACAACCCCCATGACACAACAGATAGAGCAAAGAACAACAAAAATTGGACTGAACATCTCCCAGCAGACAAAAACATACATTGGACTACTACATCTGCTGTTTCAGGAAGAAAGCTAACAGTGAAATTCTTAATAAAACCAAGACCACTACAGCCTCTCTCCCTCAGAGTAAAGCCATACAGTCCCTAAGATCCAGCAAATCAAGCCAGTGGACAAAAGTCATCTGTCAAGACTACATTTAATTAGGCCAACAGACAACTCTGAAACGAAGTACTGTAAAGAACTTTGGAAGGGCCCCCATGTCAGTATTTGCTCTGAAACTGGAAAATACCAATTTTTTCCATACCAGCTTCAGGAAAAACTATTTTCACTAATCCCCCGCTGTTCTACCCCAGAAACCTTTTGTATGCTCCCAAGGTAACCATGGCAGACCCTTCATATCCAACTCTGGTACCATCACTGAAGTGCTACCAGGATTCATAGGAGCTACACTGAAACCATTTGTGACTTAGTAAGTTTGCCTGTACAGCTTATACACCACAAAGATCATACCTGGAGAGAAATATACCCAGCTCTTCCTCTCCTGGTTTTCAAACAACCTCCTATCTTGGCTGGTTCATCAGAAGTAAACTGCCTGGCTAGGGACAGACATTACACATAAGCCAGTTTAAGTGATTAGAAACAGGTTTGAACCTGTAACAGAACAGACATTCAGTGCATATAAACCAGTTTTAAAATGGCCGAAACCGTTTTAAGATAAATCGGTTGAATGTAGTATCAGACTTAACTGATTTGGCTCAAACCGGTTTATGCAATGTCTGTCCCAGATCCCCATGTTCAAGCACTGAGCTTTAATAATGCAAAACCTGTCAACACATCTCCAGTGCTACTGCAAGCAGCACCCCCCTCCCACACAAGAAGCCCATCAGAATCCTTGGATCCTAACATTTACTTTTCCCAAAATGTGGTGCAGTATATCTGATCAGCGCCCTAAATGCTCTCACAGAAACTGTGTGGGTGAAACTAGACAGAAATTATGTACCAGAATGAACTTGGATAGGAAAAATGTAAGAGACAGATGCACAAACACTAGTAGAAGCATGTTTTTCACAGGACAGCCATTCCCTTTCTGACCTCGCTATCCTCGTACTCAAGGGAAAATTACAAAATGCTTTCAAAAGGTGAGCCTGGGAACAAAAATTCGTAAGGTGGCTGAACATTAAGAATCAAGGACTGCACACTGATAGTGACTTCATAGCATACTATAATCTACCCAACTTTTGAAAATCTTTTGTCACATGATAAGTAATAATGTTCTCTTTTGAAAGTGCTTGATCTCCCAGTAATCAAATTATCTTTTTTCTGTTACTTTGTCTGCTACTGCTGGATATTTTTTTTTCAACTTTTATAGCCCTTCACACTGTTTTTAATCATTACTGTGCCTGCCGTTTCCCTCAGATCTGATGAAAAGTGCTTTGCATTCAAAAACTTGTCCAAGCCATCTATCCCAACCATGCAATTAGAACAGTAGAACGTATCGCCAACAAAAGTCTTTGCCTTTTTACATATATGTCTTGTTTGTTGTATGGATTTAATAATTTTGTATTTACCTTTTAATTAGCTGCAGTGGAAAGGATTATTCTTTCCCAAACAATGTTATTGTTGCAGCTGAGGAATAAGCAGAAAAACAAGGTAGTCCTAAGACACAGAGTCTGTTTTCACATGCTTCTGAAATACGAGGATTAAAAAAAACATGGGGTATCGGCTGAATTATTTCTACAAGATATTTGTAGCTTGGGTTTTCTTTAAAATATCTATCTTTTTAAAATATAGCTATACCACCTCAATCTATATTTTGAGGTACAAGTTTAAAACCTCATTTAAATACATATTTTCTCTCAGCTTTTATTTAACGCTATATTCTATGCCTTAAGTTTTCAGAATATATTAGCTAGAGTTGGTAGCAATCTGATCTTTTTTTTTCTTACTTTAAACTTTTCTTGATGTTCATGATCCATCTGTGTAGCATCCTTGCAGCAGAACTGCTTCTACCCACTTGTTAGTTATTTTTTATTGTATTCATTGAAATGTTTGTCTCTAATTTGTTTTTGTAAAATAAGGTGTACAGTTAAAAAGCAGGCTTTTTTTCCTTACTGAGCTGACTTTTTTTTTTTTTAATTCTCTTCATCAGCCCAGTAAGGATTTTCAGAAGGATCTTACCTTTAATTTTCTTTTTATTATTTTAGAAGCATAACTGGAAGTATAGATTGCACCTGATTTTCAGTAAAAAGTGAAAATTTGAAGTGTTTTACTAGATTAAAATAAAATGGCTTGTCCAGGAATTCTTACATTTGAGGGGGCTCTGTGTGCTCTAATACTTGCACTGTACTATATTTTGAACATTTACATTCTTTTTAAAGTGGCTGTTTATTTTGCAAAACAAGGGGTTATATAACCTAAGATTTTCATAAAAGGAAGATAAAGGTAAACAAAGAAAAGAGCTAGGACACTTACTTTAAAATGTTTTGTTTCTCAAAATACAGTAGTGACTTTAACTCATTTAAAAATATTATGATCCTTTTATTAACATTAATGTGGTCATAATAATAAAAGCATAGTTTTGAACAGTGATTCTTTGAGTGATTGTCTTTGTGCGCATTCTACTGTATATACCTAAGTTCATAAACTTTTTGGCTAGCACTATCCCTAAAGTATCCAGGTGCCGCCTTGTGCTTTGGGCCTAAAGGACTGGGTGTTTCTACTGCACTTCGGTTCCTCCCAACCTTGTTTCTGCTTGAGATGGTCTTTTCTGTTGTCTGCTTCCAGACGAGAATAAAATCTGTGGAGTGCTATTTTTTTTATGGTTTCACCCTGTTGTCCACTAGCGACTTAATCGCTTTAGTACCACTGAACCAGGAACCAGAATGGTCTCCTTGATGGTCATCTGCAGTCAGTGTGTACTCCTCATGTAGAAAAGGTACACAAACCACAGGTGGGCACTTGGAGTGCCTGTGTTGCTAAGGAGAACACTTCATTCCAAAACAGGTGTTCCATCTGCTAATTCTTTACCTCTCACCCCCCACACTGATAGGGAAGTGAGGATCTATGTGCTGGGCATGTCTATGCAAGCAGTGAAACAGTTCCTCAAAAAATAATTGCATCTGATAAAATCCTGCCCAAATAAGGTCTTAAAATGCTTTCCAAAGATGTTTATGCTTGGGCTGATGGTCCTTAAGGGGGATAGAGTTCCAAAACTGAAGAGCAACTACCAAGAATGACCGCCCACATATCTTCAGGAGTATCTTGTTTTAAGTACTAGGTGCTTGGATAGACCATCTCATGAAAGATGAGATAGATACAAGTTTAGAATGTGTCCCCCTCCCCTTTACTTCTCCATCCAAGCAAGATTTTCTTAAGGAGATCCTAAATTCCTGGTGATGGAGTAAAACTTCAGGTGTCCAAGTCAGTCATTGCTCCACACCCTCGCACAAGATCTTCCTTAACCTTTTACTTATATTAAACGATATCATTCAGGTTGTGGCCATAGTAGAGAGGATGAACAAGGTGGTTTCCAGGGTTTGAAACTATACAAGACATGTTATGGGATTTCCAACATGGACCTGCTGTGATTAGGCATACAGTACCAGAGTACAGGCAGCTTCAGCAGTGTTTCTGAAAAATGTATCCATCTTGTATATCTGTAAAGTAGCCCCTTAAATCTCTTGTTCGCACATTATCCAAGCATTGCACAATTCCAGAGATCTCCAGTTCTGTTAGAGCTGCACTTGGCAAAACACAGGTCGGGTCAGTTCTCCTGACATTCTGAGATATAACTTTTGTGCAATTTTGTTGCTTCTTTGCAGTTCCTCACAAAAGACTTGTCCATCCCAGATGGACAGTTGCTTGACGGAAAAAGAAAAGTTATCAATTTTGGAGTAGCTGCAGTTTTTTGAAATGGCATTTATAGGCATGTTCCTCAGTTTACTTTCCACCTTCTATCCCATGAGTTTTGTGTTAAGGAATTCCCTGCTCAGCAGGAGACCAGCATTCCCTCTAAGCTGTGTGGCATGTACAGCTGCGCAGGTGCACTCATGCCGTGCATGCCGCACAGCATGGAGGGAACACTGCAGACGACTAAGGCACAGCTGGATATACTCTGTCCTTCATGCCCTCAGTGTACAACTTGTGGTTCAACAAGGCACGTGTGAGTACTGCTGGCTTAAAAGGTCTTTGAATTTAGGTGCCTGAGGCACATACATAATTTTGGAAAAAGTGTTCTTAGAGAGCTCCTGTTACTGTAAGGTAATTTCTCTTTAGTATGAAGACCTTTACTATACAAGGCTGCTTGTAACCACTTGGAACACAAATTATTGCAACATGGTGAAATAAACAAATTACTATAATGATAACATTTGTTCTGATTCTTAAACTTGTGTACATCTTCTTACAGGGGATTGCTGGCTAGGTCAATATTGCTTGCACAGAGTACCTCTCCTATCTTTACCCATGTTTATGCTGCACTTGTAGCAATTATCAATTCAAAATTTCCAAATATTGGAGAACTGATTCTCAGGAGGCTCATTTTAAATTTTCGCAAAGGATATCGCAGAAATGATAAGGTATGTAAGAAGAAATTTTGTAAAAACTTAAGAAGCATTATCCTAAAACTAATGGTCCTGTTCGTTTGTTGCCAGTAGTGGTCAACAGTATATAGTTCAAAACAAAGATCCAATAACACTTCAGAACCTATGAGAAAGCACTAGTTTAATGTGGAGTCCTGACCCCTTCTGTTGTCCATTCTATGCACTGCAGCTTCAAGATTGACCCTTATAACTTTATTCAGTTAATGTAACAATAAGCTATTTGTTGTAAAAAGTGCAGTCCTTTTTATAATATTAAAATAGTGGTGTCAGTATCCTGTCACAGGTGCCTCCAAAGGTTAATTGTGACATACCCAATTGGCAGATTGCAACGTTTTGTTGATAACTTGTTCTGTGCACAGAGAAAACTAAATGTAAAACTGTTTGTTCATTTTACAGCAACTTTGTCTAACAGCCTCAAAATTTGTTGCACACCTGATGAATCAGAATGTGGTAAGTTCCTTTATTTTTCTGATATGTTTTTTGACACCATATGTCTGTCCTACAGTTCATACTTACATTTTAAGATGGGTAAAAATTAGTTTTTAATAACAACAACTTTCTCTTGAAAGGGAATTTTTTCAATTTATAAACAAGTAGCAGAGTACTTGCTAATGGTCTAGAGAAATGGTGACTGCAACTGAGGTTACATACACATGTTCAAACCATTCAGGAGAATTCTTCCGAGTTTGTTTTCTGGAGAGGAAAACTTACCTGTACAGAAGTTCAAGCTGAGAAGCAGGATTCCTGCAGCGCTGTCCCTGGGCTGCTAGAGCTCCCTAGAACATGCATCTCAAATCACTTTGCAGGCTTCTTTTTCTTCCCAGCAACAGTAACATAGGTAAGGACACAGATCAGCACTGATTGCCTCTGGGACTGCCCCCCTAAGGAGCTCTGTCTCAAGATCCCTCATCCGTCTCTCTCCGATGAGGCCTTGACAGAAGAGATCCTGAGCTTGTCTCCTCTCTTGTCGGGGAACTGTGCTTCCCAGAACAAAATGTTGCAGTTCCAGCAGGGGTCTGCCAGGTCAGGGAAGTGGGGAGGGGGTTGTCACATTAGGGAAAGGAGGGAGTAGGTCTATACCTGTCCCATGCACAGAGCTCTCCACCCTGAACTTTCCACACTGTGTACCAGCCCAGCTGCAGCTCAGCAAGGATCTTCACTTCCCAACACCTAAGTGCTTCAGTCGGGATTGGGGTTACCTGGGTACTGGAAGTGGGTTGGCTTGTTCTGGTCTGTCCTGAGTGGACCACAAACCATTGAAAACCAGGAGCAGAACCTGCCCCCCCAAGTACTTCAGCACTGGGCTTCTCTAGCCCAAAGCACTTGGGGGACATGTTCTGGTCCCTGCTTGGCTGGGACTGACACATGCTTTCCCTGACCCTGTGGGAGCCGAAGGGAACAAAACACAGTGGGATTCCAGAGGAATCCTAACAGTTTCTTTTGAACTCCTTTCTGTACAGATGTATAGTCTCCTGAGAGAGATTCTCCCAGGAGCCACTTCACTCAGGTTGAACCAAAGTTATTTTTCTCCCAAAAAAGAATTTTTTGGGGTCGAAAAATTCTGAACTTCTGTACACTCTTGGTTTCTCCTGACAACACAGGGACTCTCCCTGGAGAAACTGAATATCTGTCCATAGTCTAAGTCTATGTACTATATATGCTCAAGTCTAAGTTGATCTTGAATTTAAGATGACCCCTCTCCCCCAATAATTAGATTCTATATATGGAAAAAAAATACATTTATTATAACTTATGAGGTATAGAATGTAATAACCAGGGGTTGTCTTAAATATGTCCCCTTCCCACTGCTAGGGAAAGGAGTGGCTGTGTGGGGGGGGGGGGTCAGGTAGCCCCCTTGCCCTCTGCTTTCACCACC